ACTTGGATTACTCTTCTCTGGCCTTGGCATGAATCTCAGGTTCTTTGGAGGGGCCCCCACAGCCCCACTCTGTTTGCCTAGACTTCTCTCCTGAGTGTTTTTTCCCAGCACCCATCTACTCTCTGGCCAAACCATCCGTTCTCCCCACCTCTGAGTTGGCACACACTCTAGACTCTAGACTTCCTTTTAGCATTTTGCATTAAAAATACGTGTGTTCCTGTCTATGTCCTCTATGCGCTGTAAAGTACATTAGTGCTGTTGTCACCATTCTGTGAGAAGGTCCTTCCAGCACTCTCAGGCATCTGAACACCTTGGCAGGTGGACCTTATTCAGTGCCTTCTCCTTGTGTTCCATTTCGGAAGTCCTTGGCAATGTGTCATTGCAAACCTGCCCAGCACTGGTTTAAAGTAGAGGATACCTAGAGCCCTTGGAGGGAGTCATCCTGGCTGGGTCAGTGTTGGCCCCATAGAGCATAGGGCTCAGCCCCGTGTGCTGTGCTTGGGAAGAGCAGTAGCCAGCATGGAGAAGGGAGAGCCCTGCTGAAGTCACCCAGTGGGCTGTCCATGGGCTGCTGGCTAGAGGAGCCACATCCTGGGCATCGTCAGCACCAGGGAGGGCAGCCAGGCAAGGTCAGGCTTTTCTGGGCCTCTGCAGTGGAGATCCCAGAGATGGGACAGGAAGGCCTGTGGGGCAGCCCAGAAGTTGTTGCTGACAGTAAGGTGTTAACGTTGGTCTTCCCCAAAGTGTAGTTGGGAATAGGCATGCCCTCGTGTCCCACAAGACAAAGAGTTGCCAGGATACTTTCACTGTGAATATGGAAATCGTGTAGAAGGAAAACATTTTCTGAAACCTGGTAACTAATTGTGATAGTATGTGAATTGTGCACCAGAAGATACAAGAATAATTTCCATCTTATAGGAGGAATGCCACGCACACATATGTGCATCTTTTGCAGGTATTGTGTAGAATGTTCCATTTTTTAATTTAATGCAGTGGGAGAAATGCTGTTTGTATGCATGAGTGCTGTTTCTGCAGATTCCACTTACAAAAATGAAAAGATGCCTTCTGTTTTTGGAATGATCACACATGGTATAAAAAATACATTTCTTACATTCCTTCTTAATACAACCTGTATAGATGCTTTCCTGCCTTTCTCAATGGTGAAGACAAAACAGACGACTATCTGTCTATGTTTTCAAGTGTATTTACATGGATCTAAATGGCTGAATTCAGAGCTTGCTCCGGCATGCATTTTGTTATGTAAATTTGTTTTTATAATGATCTAAAGTCACAGAGGAGGTTTTGTGCCCATGATTCAGCAAACAACTCGGGAAACATTTGCACATGGAAATGAAAAGGTAGAATGCCAGGAAACCAGCTATTCTCTGTCATACAATCACTTTTTACTGTTATCACTTTCCACAACGGATTTCCAGGTTCATCTGTGCATGACTGGCTGTTCAACATGAGCAGCATTGGAAAGACAAACACTAGAACACACACATTTTCATGTTATTCTAGACAACTTTTATGGTTTTCTTTTACAACTTTCTGAGCTACCACCAACTCAATATAGCAAAATAGCTACAGTCTCTGACAAACTGATTCCAAAGTAGGAATTATGACTTCCAAGGAGCATCCCAAGAGACTGGAAGGCACCTCAAAGTGGCATAGGATGTCCAAGGGGGATTTCTAGGGGGGTGAACAAGGAGAATGCTGTGGAGGGAGCCATACATGAGGACTTTCACCATGTAATGTATGGAAGGGCCACCTGACTGTCCATCTCGGTGGATTACATGGCAGGGCCACCTGACTGAGTCATAGCTATGGATGATGTGGGAGGGACATTTGACAGTGTCATCTCTGTGGATTATGTGGTAGAACCACCTGACAATACCATCTCTGTGGATTACATGGCAGGACCACCTGATTGTACAATCTCTGTGGATTAAGTGGCAGGGCCACCTGACTGTGCCATCTCTATGGATTATGTGGCAGGGCCACCTGACTATGCCATCTCTGTGGATTACATGGCAGGGCCACTTGACTGTACCTCTTCTGGTCTTGATTGGCCTCCCAGACTCAGTTCTTGATTTTCAGCCTCCAGATCTGTGATTAGGAGGGTAGCTGGTCTTCTCGCACACTACATTATAAAATTCTAAACCATTATAATAACTTTTTTTTAAAATCTGTTTACACAGGGTTCTTTTTTTTTTTTTTTT